GTCCTAGGGTCAACAGGTCAACTCTGTTTTCCCTAAAGAAGCATGGCGGTTTGGGACTTCCTAATCTCCTAGCTTATTTTCATGCGACTCAGATAGCACAGATAACTTGTACTACAGCCAGGGATTATGTCCCCCAGTGGGTTGGCATTGAGGCCTTATCCTGCCATCCTTGTGCTATTGGTGCTCTTATGTGGCTCCCCAGTCGCTTACGTCCTCCTATTTTGTGTCCTACGCTATCCTATTCGTTGATGGTTTGGGACAGATGGCGGGCTCACAAACCTTGCTTCTCTCCCCACATACTCCATTAGCTCCAGTTTTTTATAATCCTGAGTTTATTCCTGGGGTGTCAAAATCAGTATTTCAATGGTGGTTGAATAAGGGTTTGCTGCGTATTGGAGACTTCCTGGATGGACTTCGTCCTCGTTCTCTCCAATATTTTCTGACGCAGTACCAGATGCCTCCCGGAGAATTGTTTCGCTATTATCAAATAATCTCATTTATCTCTAGCAAACTTAAATTAATCGCGGAACCTTGTACACTCACTCCTTTAGAAGTCTCCTGTGGGGCAACGGGGTTGATGAGGGGTCGTTTGTCCATTGTCTATGCTTCCCTTGTCGATCCTCTCACTAAATTATCCTATATGACTCAATGGGAAAGGGACTCGAATAGCTCCTTAGATCTGGAAACTTGGCAGACTGCGGCCCATTCTCTATCAAAGATATCGATTAATACTGCTCTTATTGAATCCAATTTAAAAACGCTACTTCGTTGGTACTTGGTACCTACGCGCCTCGCTAAAATATGTCCTTCAGTATCACCTAATTGCTATCGGCACTGCAGACAAGAGGGGGGGGCTATGTTCCATATTTGGTGGAAATGTCCGGTAGTGAATAGATTTTGGATCCGAATGTTTAATTTTATCTACTCGGTTACGGGAATTAATATTCGTAGGACACTAGAAGTGGCCTTATTTCATCTGCTACCTACTACCGTTCCCAAAAAATCGACTAGACTAATTCATTACCTCTTACTGGCGGCACATATTACCATAGCTAGAAGTTGGAGACAATCTTTGATTCCGCTAGACGGGGTTAAACAAAAACTTAATTGGATAATGGTAAATGATAAGTTAACTAGCATTGTCAATAATGATGAATCTGGATTTGAGGGAACGTGGGAACCATGGATCAGATATATCTCCATTGTTTAACAACGCCGCAGCTGACTCTCTCATTTTCTCCCCCCCCCCCCCCCCTTTTTTTTTGGTCTTTTTCTTTTCTTCTCTCCTCCTTGTCTTATCCTAGATCTTTTCTTTCGATCTCCCTATTGTTAAATTGTTTTCTTTTGAATTGGGGTTTTATATTGGTGGTTAATTTCTCTGGCAATGCCCTTGTCCATCGTCTGTTGGAACGTTTGCTACCTGGTGAGAATGCTGGTTTTTTATATATATGCTTATATGTTCTATGACTTTGTTTATTCTCACCATTTCGCCATGTGGGCGGAAATGTTATTGTTCCTATGCATACCACTGTAAACCAATTCTCAATAAAATATTGAAGTTTAAAAAGATTAACCTATCCTTTAAACAAATAAAAAGCAAAAAAGATAATACACAATTTTTATATACTTTTTTGCAAATTATACTATGTTAATAGGAAGATCTAACAAACATAAAGTAGGTGCCGCACCTGAAAAGAATATAATGGAAATCGCACTGCAAATTGCAAGAAATCTTTGAAAATCTTCACAAGCAATAAAATCTTCAGAAATGGCACTGAAATTGTGTGATTTGTGTGCAATTTCATCATGATTTCAGATGCTATTTCTGAAGACTTTATTGCTAATTGTGAAGATTTTCAACGATTTCTTGCAATTTGCAGTGTGATTTTCATTATATTGTATGTATGTGAAATCGCAACAAAATTGCATAAGAAGTGATGCAAGAACTACTTTAGAAATCGCGCTGCAGCAAATCGCAAATATTAAGACACCGACGTTCACAGTAATTAGATGCGATTTCAGGTGCGATTTAAATTCTCAAATCGCGCGGGTATGACTGGGCACTTATTCCAATTTAGCTGTGGAAGTGGATATACGCTGTTTTTGTGTTTAGCATGCCTACAATCAGATGACAATGCAGATAAAAAAAATCATATAATCAGATTTAAAATGATAACGGACCGATGATTTTGGGATACAATGCTAAATGTAATAAATGGACATATGGGATTAAACTATACTTTTCCAATTTCTGGGGTGTAACAGTGGAGTTTTAGACTCAATCTGTAGTTCTGTTTTTTATTTAGTAAAGTGCTCTATTCCATATCATTATAGTCAAAACATTGCAGCTCTTCCATCAAATATTTGCTATTGGATTCTAGCGCTGATAGAATCAGCAAATCTTTATACAGTGAAAAGTGTTTGCCTTTCTGCTCTGTGGGAATTGCTGGCTATAGAAATAATGAGGCTATTGGGAAGACATTTCCAAATAATCCCAATTTCAGGCAGTGACATCTGTAGACTTAAAGCTGAAGTTTAGAGATTTTTTTTTTTCAACCCGCACCAGGGAAGGTACTTCCAGGAATGACAGCATCCCGTGTGGATGCTCCTGGACCCCCACAGCTGTGGTCTTCTGGTGATGCAGGGGTTAATACGAGTCGCTGGATTTGTCATAGGCACTCATCAAAAGTGCACACCTCCTCCATTCATAGAAGCTGTACTATAGCAATGAAAAGCAACCACAGCACTACCTGCATGGAGTTTGCATGATCTCCCTGTGCCTGTGTGCATTTCCTCCGGGTACTCCGGTTTCCCTCCCACACTCCAAAGACATGCTGGAAGGTTCATTGGCTTCTGTCTAAATTGGCCCTAGTATGTGTATGTATGAATGTGAGTTGGGGACCTTAGATTGTAAGCTCCTTGAGGGCAGGGACTGTCCTGAATAAACAATATATGTAAAGTGCGGCGTAAACTAACGGCGCTATAGAAGTACCTGTAATAAATAAATAAATGAATGGAGGACGGGCAGAAGAATGAAAGGTCCTTCTCCTCCATTCATAAAGCGTATATCATTGCTAGCTATAGGAATAATACTGCTATTGGCAAGACACTTCCAAACTATAGCAATTTCAGGCAGTGACATCTGTAGACTTAAAGCTGAAAGGTTAGTGATTTATTTTTCTTTTAACCTCTTGCCGTCCGCCTGCTGTTTATAAACGGCAGGGCGGTGGCACTCCAGGGGCGGGTTGCCGTTCCTAAACGGCACTGCCTTTTCTAGCTGTGCGCGCTCCCCGGGAGCGCGCACCACCGCGATCCGGTGCTCGCTGTGTCCTCCGGACACAGTGAAACACCGATCGTCAGACAGGGCCTCTGTACGAGGTCCCGATCATGTGATCACTGATTGGCGAATCAGTGATCACATGCAAAGTAGTAAGCAAGATGTCACTTGTGACATCATTGCTTACTACGTGTGAAATCTGTGAATGATCACAGAGGTCACATGGTACAAGGCTATTCACAACAGCCTTGTACCATGTGACAAGCTGTGACCAATCACAGCTCACTCAGTATTTCTCAATGACTGCAAGAATGCAGACAGAGAGAAAGAGAAATGATTGCTCTTACATCCTATATGGGTGTAAAAGCAATCAGTAAAAAAAATAAAAAAATCTTCATCACCCCCCACAAGTAATACAGTGTCACCATGGTGACACTGTACTGCTAGGGTGACAGTATTTAAAAAAAATTAAATAAAATAATAATAATATAAAAAAAAAAAAATAAAAATGTAAAAAAAAATGTTTAAAAATTATAATTTTTGGTTATAAACTAATTTGGATTTTTTTTTTTTTTACTAAAAAAATAACGGAATAAATTTTGGCCAAGATTTAGGATGAAATATTATTTATTTGCAAAATTTTTAGAAGAAAAAAAACACTTTTTTAAAAAATTTTTGACTTTTTCATTTACATAGTAAAAAAAATAAAAATCCCAGCGGTGAATAAATACCACCAAAATAAAGCTTTATCTGTCTCAAAAAAATGGTTAAAAAATTCATATGGGTACACTATTGCATGACCGCGCAATTGTCATTCAAAATCTGATAGCGCTGAAAGCTGAAAATTGCCCTGGACAGGAAGGGTGTAAAAGTGTCCGGAGAGGAAGTGGTTAAGCACCAGGGATGGTACATGAACGACCAGTGTCCTGTGTGCTGACGGCTGCTCAGTTCCTTGAAATCCTCCCTCTTCTTCACCCCAGATACCCCTGCATCTGTAATCTTCCAGAGTTGCAGGGGTTAATATATGAGCAGCTGTACTCTCCTAGATTGTAAGCTCCAAGGATCAGGGCCCTCCTATCCCTCTTGTATTGAACTGTTTTGTTGCTGTATTGTCTCCCTGTTGGCGCTATATAAATCCTGTATAATAATAATACTCATCATAGGTACTCATCAAAAGCTCTGACTATACCGATCTTTTCTGCCTCCCTCCTCCATTCATACAAACTGTACTATCATTTCTTGCAATGAAAAGCACTCTATGAATAGAGGACAGGCAGATAAATGAAAAGTCCTGCTCCATAGTACAGCTTCTATGTATGGCGCAGGGGAGTGGAAAGGACAGGCATAGTTGGCACTTTTGACATGTGCTTGTGACAGGTCCAGCCAAATTTCACAAAACGTCAGCTTTAAAGGGAAAAAAAAAAAAAACACTTTTCTAAATTAGTCTGTATACAAATTACAGCATGAAAACAGCTCTACGATGTATAATGTCTTAAACATGTGCGTCTTATGCGTAAAATAATGCAAAACGGAAATTCCTGCCCAGTCTGCGTCTCTTCATATAACATCTAGCAGGTCCAGCCTGCACTCCCAGAAACAGCAATATTCAGCTCCCCGGTAAGATGGATCTGTGTAGGTAACATTCCTACATCACAAGGAAGAGATGAAATAAAACGCAGAATAATTACGGTAGGACATACAATTAGAAATTTGTTTTTCTAACCTTTTCATCGTATACAACTCGAGGTCTTATTTCAGGTGCCTGGTAACCCGGGGTGCCCTCCACACCTAGCGCCCCTTCATGGAAGGACAGTCGGGAAATGCCGTAGTCTGACAGCTTGATGTTCACAGTCTCCCGGACATCCAGAGACCAGACCAGAATATTATCAGACTTCAAGTCACAGAATATGACATTTTTCTTGTGTAAGTATGACAGACCAGATGCAATTTGATAGGAGACTTGTGTTGTGTGAGCATGTGACCCAGAGGCATGAACGAGGATGTCCCTGTAATACAAAAAGAAAAAAAATTATTAAAAAAGGTGGCCAAAGACCTCACAGGATGGTTTGTAAATTGGCGAAGATCCCTATGTACAGTTTTGTATTAGGTTGTTGGTGTCAGCATCCCTTCAATCTGATAGGCAGGGGCGTATCTACCATGAGGCAAACAAGGCATTTGCCTAGGGTGGCAATTTTTAGAGGGGCAGCACCGCCCCACCCCCCTTGCCCAGACAGCAGGAAAGATTGATGTGGTGGGCGTGGGGCAGGGCAGTTGCAGAGCGACGGTCGTGTACCTCTCCCTTCAGCAGCTGATGAGCCAGAACCTGGAGCCGGGAGAGAAGTGGCAGAAGGAAAGAGCCCGGAGGAGGTGAGTTGTCGTGTTGTCTTCTGTGGGCTCTCCCTCCTGTCATCCGTCCAGTACATTGCACACACTGACAGGTCGTATGGGATTGCACACACCTCTCCCCCCCCCCCCCCTTCCTGCTGCCCGTAGATTAGCAGCCTTTGGAGGAGGGGGTGGTCCCATATGATCTGAGGAAGGGGGGGGGGGAGAGGGAAGAGAGAGAGGGGGGGGGGGAGAGAGGGAAGAGAGAGAGAGAGGTGAGAGAGAGGGGGGGAAGAGGAGAGAGGAGAGAGAGAGAGGAGAGAGAGAGGAGAGAGAGAGAGAGGAGAGAGGGGGAGAGAGAGAGCAGAGGGAGAGAAACGGGAAGAGGGGAAAGAGAAGGGGAGCGAGAGAGAACGGGGGGGGGGGAGAGGAGGGGGGGGGGAGGGGGAGGAGAGAGGGGGGGAGTAGAGGGGGGGGGGCGAGAGAGAGAGGGAGGGGGGGCGAGAGGGAGGGGAGAGAGGGGGAGAGAGATGGGGGGGAGAGAGAGGAGGGGGGGGATAAAGGAGAGAGAGAGAGGGGGGAGAGAGAGGGAAGGAAGAGAGATAGGAGAGAGGGAAGAAAGAGAGGGAGAACAACGGAAAGAAAGAGAGACGGAAGAGAGAAAGAAAGGGAGAGAGAATCATATATACATACACACACTTATTGAGGGGGGCGCAAAATGTTTGTGTTGCCTAGGGCAGCACAACATCTGAATACACTACTGCTAATAGGTATATGTAAATACCATGTAGAGAAGATCCAGCTCTAACCTATGGTTCCGCTGGCTCTGTATCCTCTCCTAGATAGGAGAAGTGTGGGTGGATGTGCCTGAGTCTCGGAAGAAGGTGACATACGTGTCTGGTTCTATGTGAACATAGGAATATCCCAGGGACAGGCACTGTTTGTTTTATTGGATGTTTATTGTAAATAATTTTATAAAGATTGACATTGTGCCAAATTAATACAATAACCACTTGAGCTCCTGAAGATTCAATCCCTCAGTGACCCAGGCCATTTTTTGCTATTCAGCACTGTGCTACTTTACTTCAATTGCACGGTCATGCAATGCTGTACCCAAACAAAATTTATATCATTTTTTTCACATGAATAGAGATTTCTTTGGGTGGTATTTGATCACCATTGGGTTTTTAATTTTTTACTATATAATTGGAAAAAGACTGAAAATTTAAAAAAAAAAAAAACCCAATACTTTTCACTTTCTGCTATAAAAACATATTCAATAATAATAAAAAAATCTTCATATATTTTCTGCCAAAATGTATTTGGCTACATGTCTTTTAGTAAAAACAAAATCCCAATAAGTGTATATTAATTGGTTTTTGTATGAATGTTAGAGTGTGATATAACTGGAATTATAATTTTTGTTTTTATTTTTATACTAGTAATGGCGGAGATCAGCGACTGACTAATTGACACTGACATCACCTCATCCTCAGTGACATTAATATGGTGATCTGTTTGTAATAATATGCGCTGTCACTGTAACTTATGACACCGGGTAGGAAGGGGTTAAACATCTGGGGCAGTCAAAGGGTTAAATGTGTGCAAAACAAGTGAGTGAGTTTACTGTGTGGTGTTTTTACTAAGGATGTGACAGCTTTTATTCCTTGCTTTGCAGGGAGACAAAATCCCCGGCACATCCCGCTGTCAGTTTACCAACACAGATCTCTCTCGAACTGTCAATCTGCTCCACCAATCAGAGAATCGTGGCCATGAATCACTGGTTGTGACACGCTGATGGGCTTGTGCTGAGCCAGTGACAGCACGGCCCTAGGTCACAGCCATGCTCACGTGCCCCCAGACACTGCTAATTAAAACATATCAACGTGTATATATATATTATATATATATAATATATATATATATTTATATACATACACACACATATATGTATGTATATATATATATATATATATATATATATATATTATATATTTAAATATACAGTGGGGCAAAAAAGTATTTAGTCAGCCACCAATTGTGCAAGTTCTCCCACTTAAAAAGATGAGAGAGGCCTGTAATTTGGCATCATAGGTAAGACCCTCAACTATGAGAGACAAAATGAGAAAAAAAAATCCAGACAATCACATTGGCTGATCTGGAAAGAATTTATTTGCAAATTATGGTGGAAAATAAGTATTTGCTCACCCTACAAACAAGCAAGATTTCTGGCTCTCACAGACCTGTACCTTCTTCTTTAAGAGGCTCCTCTGTCCTGCACTCATTACCTGTATCAATGGCACCTGTTTGAACTTGTTATCAGTATAAAAGACACCTGTCCACAACCCAAACAGTCACACTCCATCCAAACTCCACTATGGTGAAGACCAAAGAGCTGTCGAAGGACACCAGAAACAAAATTGGAGACCTGCACACCAGGCTGGGAAGACTGTATCTGCAATAGGCAAGCAGCTTGGTGTGAACAAGTCAACTGTGGGAGCAATAATTAGAAAATGGAAACAGACATACAAGACCACTGATAATCTCCCTCGATCTGGGGCTCCACGCAAGATCTCACCCCGTGGGGTCAAAATGATCACAAGAACGGTGAGCAAAAATCCCAGGACCACACGGGGGGACCTAGTGAATGACCTGCAGAGAGCTGGGACCAACGTAACAAAGGCTACCATCAGTAACACACTATGCCGCCAGGGACTCAGATCCTGCAGTGCCAGACGTGTCCCCCCTGCTTAAGCCAGTACATGTCCGGGCCCACCTGAAGTTTGTAAGAGAGCATTTGGATGATCCAGAAGAGGATTGGGGAGAATGTCTTATGGTCAGATGAAACCAAAATAGAACTGTTTGGTAGAAACAAAACTCGTCGTGTTTGGAGGAGAGAGAATGCTGAGTTGCATTCAAAGAACACCATAACTACTGTGAAGCATGGGGGTGGCAACATCATGCTTTGGGGCTGTTTCTCTCCGCAAAGGGACCAGGATGACTGATCCATGTACAGGACAGAATGAATGGGCCATGTATCGTGAGATTTTGAGTGCAAACCTCCTTCCATCAGCAAGGGCATTGAAGATGAAACGTGGCGGGTCTTCCACATGACAATGATCCCAAACATACCGCCTGGGCAACGAAGGGAGTGGCTTCATAAGAAGCATTTTCAAGGTCCTGGAGTGGCCTAGCCAGTCTCCAGATCTCAACCCCATAGAAAACCTTTGGAGGGCAGTTGAAAGTCCGTGTTGCCCAGCGACAGCCCCAAAACATCACTGCTCTAGAGGAGATCTGCATGGAGGAATGGGCCAACATACCAGCAACAGTGTGTGCCAACCTTGTGAAGACTTACAGGAAACGTCTTGACCTCTGTCATTGCCAACAAAGGATATATAACAAAAGTATTGAGATCAACTTTTTGATATTGACCAAATACTTATTTTCCACCATAATTTGCAAATAAATTCTTTTCAAATCAGCCAATGTGATTGTCTGGATTTGTTTTCTCATTTGTCTCTCATAGTTGAGGTCTCCCTATGATGCCAATTACAGGCCTCTCTCATCTTTGTAAGTGGGAGAACTTGCACAATTGGTGGCTGACTAAATATATTTTTGTCCCACTGTATATATGTGTGTGTGTGTGTGTGTATGTATATATACACATACACACACGTGATTCTGTCCAGCCAGCAGTATAACACCAGTGGATAGTTAATCCAAGGGATATCTGGTTGCCTCCCAGGGAAAGGAAGGAACTTTTTCCCTCACTAGAGCGAATAGAATAAAACTGTATTGTCTTTTTTTTTTTCTTCCCTTGGATCAAACTATGGATATAGAATAGTGAATATGAAGGTTTTCTATTTGTGTTTTTTTAAATTGGTTGAACTGTTGTTTTTTTTTTTTTCAACCTAACTATGTAACTGTGTAACCCCAGTGCCAACTTATCTTAGGGGAAAAATAATAGTTTTTCAGACCAAATTTTCAGTCCAGTCAATTTTTTCTTGTCCGAACAAAGGATGTCTGCCGGTGTCCACAGACTAGATCAAATAATCATCTCAAGTCTATCACAAAGTAGCTGTCAGGGTACAGGCTGTTCGAAGCGGTTTCAGGTATTTTGACAGCTGGTGGGGCTGGCTAGCAAAATACAATAGCCACAGCAGCTGTGTAGCGTGGAGAGAGAAATGTGTCTATATGTGTGAACCGGCCAGCTTTACTGCTACCCTGTTTCCCCCTGCTGAGGTAGTTGTGCCCTGTAGTCTTGCTCTGGCCCCCCACCCCCCCCAGTGAACTGGTGCTCTGTATCTTAGGTCACCCTGGCTTGTATCATTGCTAGCCCTCTATTTGCCAGGCCTTGTATATTGCCTTGTTCCTGTACTTTTCTCATCACACATGCTTTGTTTGTGTAGTTATTTGCGCTCCCTTTTCCCTTTGTGCTTGCTGTGTCCACCTTGTCGTTGTTATTTTTTTTTTCTCTCTTGCTGCATGAACACCAATTCACAATATACCTTTCTACACTGATCTCTGTGTGTGTTTCCTTCACTGTGGCTGGTTTCACTGGCCGTCTTCTCTCCCCAGCGCCGGCATCTTCAGTGCGGGCACCCGGCTGTGACAGCTTGCGGCTTCACATCCACGTGCCCACTGAGCATACGCAAGAAGCGCTGCTCTTTGTGAATGGCTCCCTGTAGTCTTCTGGGACCTGTCACGTGTCCCAGAAGACTACGGGGAGGGATGGATGACAACTTCTGCTTCTGATCGCAGCGGAATTGGGAGCGGGTACCTGACCTTATAAATTTGGTAACTGCCCCGCCCCCCCCTACCCAAAGGTGCCAATCCTTAAAGCAGAGTTCCACTCACGCTGTCAAAAATAAAAGTCAGCAGCTACAAATACTGTAGCTGCTGACTTTTAAAAAACAGCCACTTACCTGTCCCTCGGTCCCGTGGTGTGTCCCCCGCAGCCCGTTTCACCAGTCATCCTGTATTCCAGGAGGCCCGGCATCTTCAGTGTGGGCACCCGGCTGTGCAGCTTGCGGCTTCAGAGCCGGGTACCCACTGCGCATGTGCGAGTAGCGCTGCGCTTCATGAATGGTCCTGTAGTCTTCTGGGACCTGTCGCGTGTCCCAAAAGACTACAGGGAGGACACCTTCCGCTGCCGATTACCTAGGCGATCGGACAGGAAGTGGCAGCAGGTACCTGTCAAATTCGGGTACACTACCCTCCCCCTTAATGGGGAGGGGGGGAGCAGTCCTTAAAGCGGAACTTCCCCTTTTGGGTAGAGCTCCTTTTTAATGGGGAGCGGGGGACAAAACATTAAAGCGGAACTTCCCCTTTTGGGTGGAATTCCGTTTTAATGAGCTTGATTTCCTAAATGCAAGAGATGTTCCATTCTGAAAGGGAATTATCCCCAGAGCTCTGCTGTCTTCAATCATCCAATCACATACAAGCAAAAATGTTTTTTTTTTTTATTATTATTATTTTGTACTATTATGTATGTGACTGGGCATTCTTTGCAGAAGTGAACATTTCACCACATTCACAAAGTTCTGGGAAACATTCCTTTGCAAAGTCAACAACCTAATTGCCTTTAGTAAATCAACCGGATGTGTCCTTGGGGTGTCCTACAGTTCAGTAACAAATCTGCTGAATAATTAACAATCAGAAGTTAAAGGAAAGGTAAAGTAATTACAGCCAGCAGTAAATCATTGCACACGGTAGTAAAGTAATAGTAATAATGGTTAGGCTTTTGTCAATTAGAATTTTTCTGCTGCCTTACAATAAGGATTAGGCGGAGATTAAAAGACAGACAATGTCACCTTGGTGTCTCTCTCTGCTATCACAGTGTTGAGGCTGCCCAGAGGAGCCAGCTCCAGGGCGAAGCAGAGCGGATGGATGCTGATCCCGATCAGGGAGACGATGCAGGGGTGCTGTAGAGAGTGGAGCATGCTGGCTTCTTGCCGGAAATCGGAGAAGTTTCTCATGGCGTCTATGGCCTGGATATGCTTGAACATTGTATCTGTGAGCAGACAGGAGAACAGCATGAGAGACAATAGGGAACTGACAGCTGAAACTCATCTTAGTCTCTCTAATCATGGCACATCTGTGGCCTAGTGCAAGGTGTCTTAGCATTGTTTTCACAACTGTGTGCTTAACCCTAGGTTCACATCTGTGCGGGTGGTGCAGCCGCACCACCCGCACAGAGAAATGCGGACCCGCGGGTGGGTGCCATTAATTTTAATGGCACGCTGCCTGCACTGAAAAACGCAACCGTACTGGGAACTGAGGTTCCTGTGTGAGCTGCGTTTTCCAAAGAGATCCCTGTGTGTCACGGGCACGGGAGTCCATTTAAATGAATGGGCTCTCGTGTCCGTGCAAAATGTGGCCCGCACGGCCACACAGATGTGAACCAGGGGTAAAGCCAGGCATACATGGATCGAAATTCGCCTAGGTCAGCAGAGACTGACTGAGTTTTGATCCATGTATGAGCTAGCTGGTTGTACACATGTTGATCTGTCAACTGACTTGTGAACAACCAGCCTAATGCCCCGTACATATTATTATTATTATTGTTCCACTCTTCCTACCACCCCATCCCCCACAGCTATCTCCTCCTGTGCCACCACCCCCCCATCCTAGATCCCTCCTAGATTGTAAGCTCAAAAGAGCAGGGCCCTCGATCCCCTCATGTTTTGCATTGTATTGGTATTGTTCTGTCACATGTTCTGTCCCCCTTTGTAATGTACAGCGCTGAGCGAACTATCGGCGCTTTATAAATACTGTATAATAATAATAATAATAATAATAATAATAATTATTACACATGATAAGAAAATCGTACGAAACACTTTTGCGGAACCGCTGTCAAACAATTTTCTCTTCGTTGATGATCAGGATGTTTTAACCGATAACGATATTGTGAACGAAAAAATCCGGTTGAACGACAGTGAAAAATGTCGTTTCGCATACGAACGACCGATTTTTCTATGCGGGTGGTATGACGGTCGTACCAAAAAAATCTATCAAGTGCTATCACGCATGAGCGGAAACAGAAGATGACCCGGATGTTTATGTCCAAGGAATCTTTGTAAACACGAACGAAAAATCCAAATGTTAAAAGTAGATCGGCCGAATGAGATCATGAAACCAGAATTCTGCAGATTATATTTTATGTATCACTATTTATGCATATAAACGATATTATACTCATCGCTGGTAATAATTGTGTATATCGATCGTTCTGGCCGGAAGGGTGTGGCTACAAGGTCACACGCACACCGCATCACTTCCACTTGTACGGAAGACGTCAACACGTACTGCCCGACGAACGATTTTATTAGATTGGTTAATGTGGGCCACGATTTCGACACACAAACGAACGCCTCTCGGTCGTCGGATGACCGATCGGTCGATTTTCTAATCTCACCTTAAGTGTGCTTCGTTAACCCCTTCATAATGGAGGTTGAAAAAAAACCAAGACACCTGAAGTTTTGCAACTTTGAAAAGTATTAGTAAAACTGTAAATATCATCATAAAAACGTATACTTATACTACATAAAAAGTGTATCTAGATGACGCATGCTGCGTTTTTTTCAGGGTATATTGGGATTCATTTGGTGGCTAAATGGTAATGATATTATCTAAATGTTTTTATTATCAAAGGAAAACTGGGCCAAAATAAAAGAAAATACAATTTCTAAAATGTAGCTGTATACTTCTTGCAGTGACCATGACCTACCACCAAAGAACAACCCAAAACAAACTCCCTTGTTCCCGGCAGTCACAGTGATACCACATACTGTATGTGTATGTTTATTTGTGGTTTGCACACGTGGAAGGGCCCAGAAACAATAGTGCGCACTTTGTTTTTTTTTTAAATCTAAAACGCAATGGCTACGTTCACACTAGCTCTGTCAGCAGGCGTCAGACAGGGGTTTGAGAAGCGGTTTTAACACTTCTCAAACACCTCTGAAAATTCTGCACATGGCAGCACACAGTGCTGTTCACAAGGAAGCGTCAGCGTTGCATCGTGGCAAAACGGACGCCTCTGGTCCAGTCAAGAGGAGTTGAAGCCTCCCATTCAAGTCTATGGTGCCGCTCCGCAAACGGCCCGCCGGCGTTTGCGGTGCGGTTGCGACACAGTTGCGAGGAGTTAGCGGAGCGTTAATACCATTTAAACTTCATTATAGGCATTTGTGGTGCGGTTTTAACGCTTGGCAAACGCCTACCAACCACCGCAAAACCGCACATAGGGCGTTTTTGGAGCGTTAAAAACGCTTCACAAACACCTGTCTAACGCTTGTCAAACGCTATAGGGGCGTTTGGCAAGAGTTAGAAATAAAGTCAAGTGTGAACGAGCCCAAACACAGTGAGAGGCAGTTCACATATATGCTGTTTGAACCGCACCCAATCCGCATGACATGTGAAATAACATTGCTTCCTATGGTGTCTGTTCTCATATGTCCGGTGCACTGACAGTGCAAATTCAGTGCGGTTTGAAGAAGAGTCCTGTCTGATTTCTGAGAAGTGCGGTCCAGTTCAGGTGTGGATTACAGGCTCATTGACTTCTATTTGAACTGCTTCTGAATCACACATGTCATGAGTTTGTGAACACGATTTCAGGCTGGTTTTATCTCTGATTCTGATGTACAGTTGCAAGAAAAAGTATGTGAACCCCTTGGGATTACGTGGAGTTTTGCATGAATTGGGCATAAAATGTGCTCTGAACGTCATCTAAGTCACAACAATAGAAGAACACAGTCTGCTGAACATAATACTGCACAAACATTAGATGTTGCCATGGTTTAATTGCACATAACATGTAAACATTCACAGTGCAGGGAGGAAAAAGTATGTGAGGCCCTAGCTTAATGACTTCTCCCAGAGCTAATTGGAGCCAGGAGTGAGCCAACCTTGACGCCAATCCGTGTGATGATCTTGGATGTGTTGCTGACAGCTGTCCTGCCTTTAAAAAACACACACACCTGTTTTGGGTTTACTGGTTTCAAGAAGCACTGTCTGATGTGAACCATGCCTCGCAGAAAAGAGCTCTCAGAAGACCTACGATCAAGAATTGTTGACTTGCATGAAGCTGGAAAGGGTTACAAAAGTATCTCCAAAAGCCTTGATGTTCATGTGTCCACGGTAAGACAGACTGTCTACAAATGGAGAAAGTTTAGCACTGTTGCTACTCTCCCTAGGCGTGGTTGTCCTGTAAAAATGACTACAAGAGCACAGCGCAGAATGCTGCATGAGGTAAGAAGAATCCCAGAGTGTCAGCTAAAGACCTACAGAAATCTCTGGCACATGCTAACATTTTTGTTGACACATCTACAATAAGGAAAACATTAAACAAGAATGGAGTACATGGGAGGACACCACGGAGGAAGCCATTGCTGTCCAAAAAGAAGATTGCAGCACGTTTGAAGTTTGCAAAAGAGCACCTGGATGTTCCACAGCACTACTGGCAAAATATACTGTGGACAGATGAAACCAAGATTGAGTTGTTTGGGAAGAACACACAACACTATGTGTGGAGGAAAAAAGGCACAGCACACCAACATCAAAACCTCATCCCCACTGTAAAACATGGCGGAGGGAGCATCATGGTTTGGGGCTGCTTTGCTGCCTCAGGGCCTGGACGGATTGTTTTCATTGATGGGAAAATGAATTCCAGAGTTTATCAAGACATTTTGCAGGAAAAAGTACGACCATCTGTCCGCCAACTGAAGCTCCGCAGAGGATGGGTGATGCAACAGGACAATGACCCAAAGCATACAAGTAATTCAACAAAACAATGGCTGCAACAGCACACAATACGCCTTCTGGAGTGGCCCAGTCAGAGTCCTGACCTCAACCCGATTGAAATGCTGTGGCATGACCTTAAGAGAGCGATTCACACCAGACATCCCAAGAATATTGCTACACTGAAATAGTTTTGTCAAGAGGAGTGGTCCAAAATGACTCCAGATCGTTGTGCAGGTCTGATCTGCAACTACAGGAAACGTTTGGTTGAGGTTATTGCTGCCAAAGGAGGGTCAGCCAGTTATTAAGTCCAAAGGTTCACATACTTTTTCCTCCCTGTACTGTGAATGTTTACATGTTATGTGCAATTAAACCATGGCAACATCTAATGTTTGTGTAGTATTATGTTCAGCAGACTGTGTTCTTCTATTGTGACTTAGATGACATTCAGAGCACATTTTATGCCCAATTCATGCAAAACTCCACGTAATCCCAAGGGGTTCACATACTTTTTCTTGCAACTGTAAACCTAACCTGAGCAGCTGAACAACTACTTCATTTAGCTGTGAAAACGTGTGAATGTGTGAATCCAGCCTGACACTGACTTTTTTAAAACCTACCTAAAATACTTTGACCTTTGACCTTGACTTTAAGCATGACCGTTGACCCTAATGCTAACCCTGACTTACATAAAACCCTAATCTAGCCATTTATCTTCATTTTATTTTTATTTTTTTACACACACTTTTTTGCTTACAATTTTTTCTTTTAGCGAGGAAAAAAAGATACAATATACATTCAGGAGGAGAAAAAAAAACACATGGGTGGGCTATCCAGTGACTGATCACTTGATAGCTCATTACAGTCTATCACAGTAATCAGGTGATTGCTGTAACTGGTCTTCCCATTTCCTGATTGTTTTGTACGAGACCAGAAGCTATCTGTAATGCGGGCCATAGATGGGTCGAAAATCGGCCGATTTTTCGGCCGAAAATAAGATTGGCCGATTTTCGGATCCTTAGTGGGCTAATTGTTCGGCCGTTTTTCGGTATTTTGGCCGATTTTTTTTATCGGTAAAGTTGGAAAAATTCGGCTGATTTTGCCGATCGGCCGATTTTCGCAGCAATAATGGGAAAATCGGCCGATTTTTTTACCGATAAAAAAAATCTGAGCCTGAGCTGTGACCTGCAAGAAGAAGACAAAAAGAAGAAGAGGATGAAGAAGAAGAAGAAGAAGAAGAGGATGAAGAAGAAGAGGATGAAGAAGAGGAGGAGATGAAGAAGAGGAAGAAGAAGAAGAAGAGGATGATGAAGAAGAGAGAAAAAGAGGATGAAGAAGAGGAAAAAGAGGATGAAGAAGAAGAAGAGGAAGAAGAGGATGAAAAAGAAGAGGAATTCCAGTCCTGCAAAAAGTGTCCCTGCAGAGAGCTCCACTATTTCTTTGACAGTTCCTTGACATTTATAGCGGTTGCAACATTGTATCTATTTGTTTCCGAATAAAACCATCTGTATCCTAAATGGATACAAATAGATACATTGTTGCAACTGCTATAAATGTCAAGGAACTGTCAAAGAAATAGCGGAGCTCTCTGCAGGGACACTTTTTGCCGGCTGTAGACGGGATGAAAATTGGCCGATTTTTTTTTTACCGTTGCTGGTAACTTCGGCCGCTTGAACGACCGATTTTTCGCTTTTTTAAAGAAAAATCGGCCGATTTTTGACCCATCTATGGCCTGCATAAGGCTACATTCATTAGCGTTGTGTGCAGGCAGCAGAGAGGCGTTTGGGAAGCGTTTTTACCGCTGTTCTAACGGTGCTGTTCTAATAGAAGCGTTTGCGTCGCGTCAAAACAGACGCCTCTGGTCAAGTCAGGAGGCGTTGAAGCCTCCTACTCTAGTCTATGGTGCCGCTCCGCAAACGCCCTGCAACCGCGTAACACCATTCAAACTGCATTATAGGCGTTTGTGGGGCGTTTTTAACGCTCGGCAAACGCCTAGCAGCCGCCGCTAAACCACGCATGCGGCGTTTGCCGAGCGTTAAAAAACGCTTTGCAAATGCCGGAACAACGCTTGCCAAACGCTATAGGGGCGTTTGGCAAGCATTGGTAAAACAGCCAAGTGTGGACGAGCCCTTAGTCCTCTCACACACGGGACGTTTTTACAGCAGCTGTTTTTGGCTTTTGATGTTCTACAACCAGTAACCCCCCAGCATGTTATCCTTTGTGTCCATACACACACAGACTGGAATCAGCGTTTTTTGGCTGGAAAAAACCCAGAACTAGTGGGTTTCTAGAGGAGTTTTTTAGCTGTAAAAATGCTCTAACGTTGAAAACCGCGGCAAAACACAGTAAAACGCCGCAAACTGGTGTTTTTGGAAAAACGTGGGAAAGCAGCGCTAATACAAAATTTAATTAATGCAAAAACGCTAGTTCTCATGCACACGGGACGTATTTACAGCGGCTGCGTTTGGCTTTTGACATTTTTTTCTACAGCCAGTAAACCCCCCAGCATGTTATCCTGTGTGTCCGTGCATACATAGACTGTAGTCAACGTTTTTTTTGGCTGGGATGTTTTTTCGATGGAAAAAAAACCCCAGGACTAGTGGGTTTCTAGAGATGTTTTGTAGCCTCCTCCCATGCCCGACTCCAGGATGTCACCCATCCTCTGGAACTCCCTGCCCCAACCCATCAGATTATCACCTACTCTCCTCTCCTTTAGGCGCACCCTAAAAACCCATCTCTTCATGGAAGCCTACCCCACCCCCTGCTAACTTGCCGACCTCCTCCACTCTTCCTACCACTCCATCCCCCACAGGTATCTCCTCCTGTGCCACCATCCCCTCCCTCCTAGATTGTAAGCTCCAAGGAGCAGGGCCCTCAATCCCCTCATGTTTTGCATTGTATTGTTATTGTTCTGTCACATGTTCTGTCCCCCTTTGTAATGTACAGCGCTGAGCGAACTATTGGCGCTTTATTAATACTTTATAATAATAATAATAGCTGTAAAAATGCTCTAACGCTGAAAAACATGTTAAAATGCCGCAAACCGTTGTTTTTGGACTTTTTTGACCCCCTAGGGAGTCAAAAAAGCGCTAAAAAACACAAACTTTGCAAAAAGCAGCTAAACGAGCCAAAACGCCACTAAACGCTAATGCAAAAACGCTAAATAAAGCTGAAAACCTCACAGTTTTAACGTGACTTTACGCAGGTAACGTTTCCAGTGTTATAAAAAACACCCCGTGTGCATGGAGCCACGCAGCTTAATCTCTGTTCTGGGGGTGTGCTGTGCATGGCATTCTGAGCACAAACACAGTAGTGCATATATATGCAGTCCCACGCATAAAGACCCTCTTCTGTGAACATACAGTATCTGTGTACACTTGGAGGGAAGGGGTAAGAAGCTCATCTCTAGAATAATAATCAGAGGAATTGGGTGGAAAAATGATGGGCTTGTGCCAACTGTCGGATTACAACCTTCTTCCATGTTGTTTAGAGTGGATGGAGGAATCATTTTGATTTCTTCGTTTTAGCCCACAGGCTAAACAAGACAAATCTATAAGTGTATGGCTAGCTTTAGTTCCATATTTGGAGCTTTCTCATATTCCAGGACAACATTTTTAATTGGTTATATACTAATTTCTATACACCGATTAGCTGTTAGAAACCAGAAGAAAGATTTTGTTTAGATCTTCTTTAAATGTGGATCTGAAAATACAAACCAATCTGCATTTATCCCTTCTCGCCCAACCCGGCGCCCCTTTAAAAAGTTCTGAATGCCCGGGCTGCGGAAAGGATCAGCGATCATGTGACCATTGTCACAGCGGTCAAATGATTGGAAGCCGGTCCAACCGGCTAACAACCTTTAGTCCGTACCAAGAGTCCTTGCAAGCTCGGTTTTTGTGCATTGAGCGCGCGCTCAACACATAAACATAGGCTGCCCAATGACACATATAGTATGGGGGTGCTTTAAAAAATTTTTTACATTATTGTTATCACAAGGGGGATAACAAGCCCCCTAATGTGACAGCATGGGCAGGTGATAGGTACTCTTTATGGAGAAAAATCAGGGGTCTATTAGACCATGTATTAGACCGATGTCTAGTAGACATCTGTACAGGCATGTACAGAATGTACTTTTCCAGATTCATCCTCAACTACACTAGCCGAGTAATAACAGTTAAGACCCCAAACGTAAGGTAATACATTGCTTCTGGGGTCATTAGTCGCAGGAGGGATTGGGGAATGGATGTTCACTGAGTTACTTCTAGTTTCTGTAGTCCTGGGATCCCCGGAAAAAGAGGGAGAACCCAGGAACCACCAAAAAGTGCTGTCGGTGGGAGAAGAGGGGGGGCAGCATTTTGTGTGTCCCATTGTCACAAGGGGGCTAACAAGCCCCTATGTGACAGGATGGGCAGGTGATAGGTACTCTTTATGGAGACATCAGGGGGTTTATTTAATAAAGCTGGAGAGTCCAAAATCAGACTCCCTTCTGCATAGAAACCAATCAGCTTCCAGGTTTCATTGCCAAAGCTTCATTGAACAAGCTGAGGTTAGAAGCTGATTGGTTTCTATGCAGAAGGGAGTCTGATTTTGGACTCTCCAGCTTTAGTAAATAAACCCCCAGGGGTCTATTAGACCATGTATTAGACCGATGTCTAGTAGACATCTGTACAGGCATGTACAGAATGTACTTTTCCAGATGCATCCTCGACTACACTAGCCGAGTAATAACAGTTATGACCCCAAAAACATAAGGTAATACATTGCTTCTGGGGTCAATAGTCGCAGGAGGGATTGGGAAATGGATGTTCACCGAGTTACTTCTAGTTTCTGTGGTCCTGGGATCCCCGGAAAAAGAGGGAGAACCCAGAAACCACCAAAAAGTGCTGTCGGTGGGAGAAGAGGGGGGCAGCATTTTGTGTGTCCCATTGTCACAAGGGGGCTAACAAGCCCCTATGTGACAGCATGGGCAGGTGATAGGTACTCTTTATGGAGACATCAGGGGTCTATTAGTCCATGTATTAGACCGATGTCTAGTAGACATCTGTACAGGCATGTACAGAATGTACTTTTCCAGATGCATCCTCGACTACACTAGCCGAGGAATAACAGTTATGACCCCAAACGTAAGGTAATACATTGCTTCTGGGGTCATTAGTCGCAGGAGGGATTGGGGAATGGATGTTCACAGAGTTCCTTCTAGTTTCTGTGGTCCTGGGATCCCCGGAAAAAGAGGGAGAACCCAGGAACCACCAAAAAGTGCTGTTGGTGGGAGAAGAGGGGGGGGGGGCAGCATTTTGTGTGTCCCATAAAAGTGATTAAGCAGCTGTATCATAAAGCCCTTTGCCGGCTGTACAGAGCTCACACTGTGACCTGATTTAACCTCCTGTCTAAGATGCGATAAATGTACTTTGGTAGAGGAGTGGATACCCATGATAAAAGTGGCTGTATCTCATTGGCATTGCTATCAAAATCAATACTAGAAACTGCACAAGGCCAAAGAAAATGCGTGCCTTATAAATATCCCTTGTTAAATATTAACACTTACCTCCGGTTCACATACATGCGGCCATGCGGGCCGTGTTTTGTGTGCGGGCACGAAAGCCCATTCATTTGAATGGACTCTAATCCCCCTTGACACGCAGGGAAGAAGTCCCTGCACTTCTTCTGAAAAGGCAGCCCACACGGGAACCTCGGTTCCAGTACGGTTGCATTCTCCGGCGGGTCCACATTCCTCTGTGCGGGTGGTGCGGCTGCACGAATTTTTGTGCAAATCTGCAACCGCACCACCCGCATGTGAACCTAGCCTTAGAGCTACTGGCTCACATGTTTTCAAAAAGACAAATAATTAGGCAGAATACCTTTGGTGATCTCTGCAGAGGTGCGATACTTCTTAATTTGAAACATCTTCAAGGCTACTGGCTTCTGCTTGTAGGCAGCCCGGTAAATGATCGTTCCACTTCCACCTTGGCCTAAAATGTTAGTGTTTTCTTCTGAATATTCCAAGTCGTTGATGTCAAGAAATAACCTGAAAAACAAGATAACAATGAACAAGATGAAACTATTCATGAACAATGGGGGAGGAATTTTAACTGCATCTTAACCACTTGGGTCGCCAGGCCATTTCCTCCCTAACCCCACTGGAATCTTGCAATGTTTTGTTTTGGAGATGCCTCAGTTCTACATGTAGCACTACCCCCTTAGGAGTCGCTGAGTTTTGAGTCCCCCTAAGCTATGCAAGCCAGGCAACATGCATTTTCCACACTTTGCACACTTGAGTCAAAGAACAATTCTTGAGCTTGATTTTGTGATTTTTTTTTAACGGGTTAAGAACTTGGATGGGGTCTAGGGGTATGTGCTAGAGGCACTGTAGAACTTGAGGACAACTCCTTAGCAACTATGTACAAAATGTGGATAGCAACAGTCTCTAAAGGCTCTTTGGTGTTCCTCCTCTTCACCCTGCTGCCTGAGGGTATCCCTGGGAAGGGGGCCCAGAAGTAGCAAATTTAGCACAAGCAGTCCTGGATGAGAAGCTAGTTGGGTCTTTTCACCTGACTGCCCTCTCCCCCTATCTGGCCTAGGGGGTGTAAGAGTACTCACACTGTCCTTTCCTGTCAGATTAGTGGGCTGGTGGCTGCCTTCAGGTCTTTTGCTGGGCTGGCTCCTTCCCTGATTTTCAGGACTGTCCTCCCCAAGAGACAGTGGAACAGTGGCGGTCCTCTTTTCCAGCTTTCAAGTTGTCTGTAGGTAGGCCCCCCTCTTAGGCTCCACACTCCAGCCTTCCTCAATCCATCTTCCACCTGACACTGCACCCCCCCAGGCTCTGCCACATTTGAAGGTTGCCATTGATCACCATGCCCAGCCTCCTGCCAGGGGATTGGCCAACGTTCCTTCAGCATAGAGATCTGAGCCTCCTCCTAAAAGCTCTCGGAGAAGTGGGAGGGCTCCAGAAGCCCTGACCTGATAGAGCCTCCTAGCCTGTCCTGAGGTGAACTCCTGCCTCACTCACAGGCTGACACATCCCAGGCTGCTACTCAGCCTCTGCCTAAAAAAGTAAAACTACAAACTACTATCTAGCTAACCTGGAGGGTGTTACATCAACGTTATATCTTTGAGGGTGCATTTACACTAGGAACTGCATGTGAGTCACATGGGAATGCTGTGCAGTTCCTGTGCAATTCACATGCAGTTCTGTGCAATGCGGTTTCAGCCCCATTCATTTTGAATGGGCTGAAATTCTTTTTGAAAAGCACTGCAAACAGATTGCATGGTACTTTTTTACTATGTGACTCGGTGCGGGAAAATGCTCTGCATTTGCAACCTACGTTTGGGGTGCTGATAACTTTACACTGACACCCGCAACAGATCGCAAGGACATTGCGACTAGAATGAGGTGTGGGAAGCCGCATGGGAACGTGGCTTTCCTGCACTGTATTCTAGTGTGAACGGGCCCTTATGATTTTTAGTCCACAATATTGTACTACACATTTGTTTTTTATGACAGATAGGGCTTTCATTTAATATAAATTTTAATACATGTATTTTTATTTCTTTGTTTCTTTTGGGTTTCTTTCTTTGTTTCTTTTGGGTTTCTTTGTTTTTTATTGGGAACAAATAGTAATTTCCAAAATCCGCCCCTTCCTGACCAATGACACCACAAAACAACTTATCCACACCTTGGTTATATCCCGCCTCGATTACTGCAACTCCCTCCTCACTGGTCTACCGTTACACAGGCTATCCCCCTTCAGTCTATTATGAATGCTGCTGCTAGACTCATACACCTTACCAACCGATCAGCGACTGCTGCCCCTCTCTGCCAATCCCTCCACTGGCTTCCACTAACCCAACGTATCAAATTCAAAATACTAACCACAGCTTACAAAGCCATCCACCACACTGCCCCAGCTACATCACCAACCTCATCCACAGATACCGCCCAAATCGCCCACTCCGCTCCTCCCATGATATCCTCCTCTCTAGCTCCCTCATCACCTCCTCCCACGCTCGCCTCCAGGACTTCTCCAGAGCCTCTCCCATCCTCTGGAACTCCCTACCACAGCATGTCCGATCAGCCCCCACCCTGTCTGCCTTTAGGCGATCTTTGAAAACTCACTTCTTCAGGGAAGCCTACCCCACCTCCACCTAAGAACTGTACTTGAATCACCTCCACCAGATCATCCCCCGAAGTTATCACCTTTTGTATCACCTCCCCCTTCCTTTTGATTGTAAGCTCCACGAGTCGGGCCCCCCTATTCCTTCTGTACTGAAATGTATTGTAATTGTACTGTCTCCCTTATATTGTAAAGCGCTGCGCAAACTGTTGGTGCCATATAAATCCTGTATAATAATAATAGTAAAAAAAATAAATCTTCCTGTTCTCCTCCAAGATACGCACATTCCTCACCCCAAAATCCTCCAAGATACGCACATTCCTCACCCCAGACACCACCAAACAACTCGTACACTCCCTCATCATCTCACGCCTGGACTATTGCAACTTCCTTCTCACCGGCCTACCCAAACGAACGCTATCCCCACTCCAGTCTATCCTGAACTCAGCGGCTAGACCAGCAATGGGCAAACTACGGCCCGCGGGCCGTATACGGCCCGGCGGACCTTTTAATCCGGCCCGCGGAGCTAGGCTCCCGCAAGGCCAGTGGTCGGCAAGCCGCGGCTCTTTACAAATTTAGATGCGGCTCTCCTGTGTGCCGGGCGCCCGCTCCCCTCCCTCCTCTCCTCCTCTCCCCTCCCTCCTCTCCTCCTCTCCCCTCCCCTCCTCTCGGATGGCCGCCCCCCCTCTCGGATGGCCGCCCCCCCTCCCTCCTCTCGGACGTCAGGACTCTGCAGCTGTCAGGATGTAGGGGGGGGCAGCGTGACGAACTCCTCTCACAGTCCTCCCTGAAGACCAGAACGGCACGGGAATACGAGAGGAACGCGCGGACCAAAGGTAAGTGAATTGACACAGGGGGGGGACTTACTATATGGGGAATGAATTACTATATGGAGGACTTACTATATGGGGAATGAATTACTATATGGGGGACTTACTATATGGGGAATGAATTACTATATGGAGGACTTACTATATGGGGAATGAATTACTATATGGGGGACTTACTATATGGGGAATTAATTACTATATGGAGGACTTACTATATGGGGAATGAATTACTATATGGAGGACTTACTATATGGGGAATGAATTACTATATGGGGGACTTACTATATGGGGAATTAATTACTATATGGAGGACTTACTATATGGGGAATGAATTACTATATGGGGGACTTACTATATGGGGAATGAATTACTATATGGGGGACTTACTATATGGGGAATGAATTACTATATGGGGGACTTACTATATGGGGAATGAATTACTATATGGAGGACTTACTATATGGGGGATGAATTACTATATGGAGGACTTACTATATGGGGAATGAATTACTATATGGGGGATGAATTAATATGGGGGATGAATTACTATGTGGGGGATGAATTACTATATGGGGGATGAATTACTATGGGGGATGAATTACTATATGGGGGATGAATTACTATGGGGGATGAATTACTATAGGGGGGATGAATTACTATGGGGGACGAATTACTATATGGGGGACGAATTACTATATGGGGGACGAATTACTATATGGGGGACGAATTACTATATGGGGGATGAATTACTATGGGGGATGAATTACTATATGGGGGATGAATTACTATGGGGGATGAATTACTATATGGGGGATTAATTACTATATGGGGGATTAATTACTATGGGGGATTAATTACTATGCTTACTATGGGGGAATATTACTATACTTACTATGGATGACACATACACATCATTCATCTACTCTTGGTCCGGCCCCCGGGTCCAATATATGAACCCATTGCGGCCCTCAAGTCAAAAAGTTTGCCCACCCCTGGGCTAGACTCATCCACCTCACCAACCGCTCCACATCTGCCTCCCCCCTCTGCCAATCCCTTTATTGGCTCCCGATTGCCCAACGCATCAAGTTCAAGCTGCTAACCCTGACTTACAAGGCCATTCACAATGCCGCCCCAAACTACATAACTGACCTGATACCCAGATACTACCCTACAAATGCCCTCCGCTCCTCGCAGGACCTCCTGCTCTCTAGCTCCCTGGTCCCCCTCTCCCACGCTCGATTGCAGGACTTCTCCAGGACTTCCCCCATCCTCTGGAACTCCCTACCCCAATCCATCAGACTGTCACCTACCCTCCTCACCTTCAGGCGCACCCTGAAAACCCTCCTCTTCAGGGAAGCCTACCCAAAACCTCACCTAACACCCGACCTCCTCCACTCCATCCCCCACAGCCATCTCCTCCTGTACCACCTTCCCCTCCCTCCTAGACTGTAAGCTCGAAAGAGCAGGGCCCTCGAACCCCTCGTGTATTGTATTGTTACTGTCTTGTCTCATGTTCTGTCCCCCTTGCTACTGTACAGCGCTGAGCAAACCCTTTGGCGCTATATCAATACTGTATAATAATAATAATACTTTTTCAGAACACAATGTTTTTGTAATTTGAATACCCCCATATATGGACCGTAAATTATAATCAACAAAGTCTGCTAATTAAAAATGATATCACATGATTGCAAATTTTAGGTAATGTAGAAAGATGATAAAGCTTTATATGTTTTATATTAGAAGAGATTTATTCAACTTTTAACTCTACATTGTGACACGTGCAGCCTGCAGATCACTATAGTAGTGATCTATTGCTGTAGGGAGCCTCTGTACTGAGAGAAAGTCCTGTACTGTCACTTATGACGTCACTACACCAAATCAAACAAAACACAGAAGTGTTGTGCTTACATCCGCTTACGTCCTATGGAGTGGTATGGAAAAGCATCAGAAGCCCAGGAGATCAGCAGCAGGGGAGGCCTGAAGGAACAACTGAGGCCAGACACGGTTTTAAAACAGTACTAGGATAGCAGCCATTTGTCCCATCGCTAGGGAGTCAAGTGATCAGCGACACCACCTGTGAACTGTGATAGGGTTTCCAGGCTTGTCCCCCACAAAGCTGAGCTCCAGGAATAAGGCATAATTGAAACACATATATTTTCAGTGCCAATGGATTTGTATTTCTGTCCATCCAGTCTTGAGATTTAAACAGCCCTGCCACAGTGTAAAGCCTGGCAAGTGACCTGAGTTCTCAGCTGCAGTTAGTCAATAATGCCATGTCACTGTCCCTTTACTGATTGGACATTGGGGAAAGAGCAGCAGTTCACCGCTCTTATTTATTTATTTCAGGTACTTATATAGCGCCATCAATTTACACAGCACTTTACATTTATATATTGTACATTCACATCAGTCCCTAACCCTCAAGGGGTGTACAATCTAAGGTCCCTAACTCACATTCATACATACACATACTAGGACCAATTTAGACAGGAGCCAATTAACCTATCAGCATGTCTTTGGAGTGTGGGAGGAAACCAGAGTACCCGGAGGAAACCTACGCAGGCACAGGGAGAACATGCAAACACCAGGCAGGAGGTGCCGTGGCTGGGATTTGAACCAATGACCCGAGTACTGCCAGGCAGAAGTGCTAACCATTTAGCCACTGTACTGCCCTAGCTCTTTCCAACTAACAGCATGTTCTTCGTCAGCGGAGGTGCATGGAGCACCTGTGCTTTTGCCCTTCCCTCTTCCAGTCTCAGTGCTACTGTAAAGAGAATTACAAGAGAGCATGATGTCGGTAAATGTTGGTATTTATATTAGCATATCCTTTTAGAAGCCATAAATTTGACTAAATTCTGATTTGCTACTACCGTGTTTCCCCGAAAATAAGACAGTGTCTTATATTCATTTTAGGTGAAAAAAATGCACTAGGGCTTATTTTTGGGTAGGTCTTATCCTTATCTCCACAAAAAAAGCAAGCCCCCCCCCCTCTCTCTGCCTTCTCTCTCCCCCCCCTACCTACATACATGAATCTGCAGTGCCAGGGGATTACATACATACCTGCTGCATACTCTGCCCGCCCCTCCAGCACTCCGCCTTCAGCACCCGTGGCAGGGATATGGACCCGCCCCTCTGCTGAAACATCCGAGAAGGAGAGGTGTCCGAAGTGCCTGCCTCACTGTCCGTCCCCTCAATGCCTGCTTATTTCAGAAGCGGCACATACAGGGACGGACTGAGCCTCTCATGGGGCCCTGCAGTGACTCCGGGTCCTCGGGCAGTGCCCGAATGGTCAGTCCACCCCTGGTGGAGGTAGGTCTTATTTTCGGGGGGAGGGCTTATATTAGCGGTACGTGAAAAAGTACCGCTAGGTCTTACTTTCGGGGAAACAGGGTATCTATTTTGTAAAAGCTCAACCCCAGGAATGAGATAATATACACCCTTGTAGTGTCCCCCCCCCACCTCTCCACAAAGGTTAGCTGCTCATTATGCCTAGGGGTGCCATAATAATAAGTAATGCTTACCTTATTTCCCGCTCCAGCATTCTCCCTCGAGTCCAATGATGCCGCCCTCCAAGGTGTTCCCACACATGGGTGCACTCAAAGCTCCTCCACATACAATACAGGGTCAAGACCTCCTTCTCTCTAGTTCCCTGTTCTCCTCCTCCCATGCCCGCCTCCAGGACTTTTCTAGGGTGTCACCCATCCTCTGGAACTCCCTGCCCCAACCCATTAGATTATCACCTACTCTCCTGTACTTTAGGCGCACCCTGAAAACCCATCTCTTCAGGGAAGCCTACCCCACCCCCTGCTACCTTGCCGACCTCCTCCACTCTTCCTACCACTCCATCCCCCACAGCTATCTCCTCCTGTGCCACCATCCCCTCCCTCCTAGATTGTAAGCTCCAAGGAGCAGGGCCCTCGATCCCCTCATGTTTTGCATTGTATTGGTATTGTTCTGTCACATGTTCTGTCCCCCTTTGTAATGTACAGCGCTGAGCGAACTATTGGCGCTTTATAAATACTGTATAATAATAATAGCTGAGCACTATATGTGACCGAAGAGCCAGAGAGAGAGGAGAGCGCCAGAACCAGTTGGGGATAAGTTAAGTAATACAGCCTCTTCAGCTCCTCCTAGAGCAGCGGTTCTCAACCTGTGGGTCGCGACCCCTTTGGGGGTCGAACGACCCTTCCACAGGGGTCGCCTAAGACCATCGGAAAACACATATTTCCGATGTGTAAACAGCAGCTACTGTGTAGAAAGCAGCTGCTGTGTTGAAAGCAGCAGTATTGGAGGTAAAATGACACTTCATGAATTAGAAATAATTTTATGGTTGGGGGTCACCACAACATGAGGAACTGTATTAAAGGGTCGCGGCATTAGGAAGGTTGAGAATCACTGCCCTAGACCTAAGCATTTTACCCTTGCAGTACGGGGGAAGGGGGGGCCCTCTGCAAGGTTAAATTTCCAATTCTTGGAGTTGGGCTGTAACACCTATTTCATACTATAGCTTACATAGACCCTTCAATACAACACCAATGAGTGCGCATTGCATTTCTATTTCCTTTGGGAACGATGGAGAGAGAGTAGTGAGTATTAAAATCCTCCTTCCACAACACACAGCACAGCAAACACTGACAAATGTTGCATGATAATGGTGGGTAATTTGCTGCTGTTTCACATGGACATTGTGACTGTACCTGGAAGGGAAATCCGTCATAAAAATTTCAGGGACCATCTCCTGCAGGGACACAGGTTCTTCAGGATGATTCGGACACTCCAAGTAATCCTTATCCACAGCTGCCAGGACACAATCTTCCATGTTAAAATAGTGAGGTTCCTTCTCATTCAGCGCCCCCTCCTGGTCATGTGGCAGAGCTGCACAGGAGTTGCAAGGAACATACTGCTCCATCAAGAGTGTGCCATCGCTCTCTGTGGCTGTCAAAGCTGGACAAGACATAAGAGCAATATTAGAAATCATCTAGAAAGTGGAGCTTTTCCTACAGCCACTATTTAAAGTGTGGAATCAGTTTTCACAGTCGGCAAAATATTTTGTATTTAGTTTTGTTTTTATATGTCAACCCTATTAAATGATGATTGTGTCAAGAATGAGTTATGTTTCCTCTCTGTGCTAGAATCTTCAATTAATTAAGGTATATATGAAGATTATAGAAGAGTATAAGGATGCTGAATTTATTGACTTTGGGTAACATTGTTTTAATTAACCCCTCGCCTACCGGGCACTATCACCCCCTTCCTTCCCAGGCCAGTTTTTAGCTTTCAGCGTTGTCACACTTTGATTGACAATTGAAATTTTTAATCTTTTTTTGAGACAGATAGAGTTTTCTTTTGGTGGTATTTAATCACCACTGGGTTTTTTTTTTATTTGTTGCTAAAAAAAGACAAAAAATGTTTTTCTTAGTTTCTGTCATAAAATTTTGCAAGCAGGTAATTTTTCTCCTTCACTGATGTGCACTGATGAGACTGCACTGATAGACACTGATATGCAGCACTGATAGGCTGCACTGATAGTTTTTTTGATGAGGCGACGCTGAAGATCACAGATAGGCAGCACTGATGGACAATGTTGGGGCTGCACTGATGGACAATATTGGGGCTGCACTGATGGACAATGTTGGGGCTGCACTGATGGACAATGTTGGGGCTGCACTGATGGACAATGTTGAGGCTGCACTGATGGACAATGTTGACTGGCAATGCACTGATGGACAATGTTGGGACTGCACACTGATGGACAACGTTGGGGCTGCACTGATGGACAATGTTGGGGCTGCACTGATGGACAATGTTGGGACTGCACTGATGGACAATGTTTGGGACTGCACTGATGGACAATGTTGGGGCTGCACTGATGGACAATGTTGGGACTGCACTGATGGACAATGTTGGGACTGCACTGATGGACAATGTTGGGACTGCACTGGACTGCCTCTGATTTTTAAATACATTTGCCGATTACTGGCTCTTTGCTTTCCTCACGCTGTTACAGTGAAGCCGATAACTGGAAAATGTATTTACATTGTGATCAGCTGTGTCATTGGACACAGCTGATCACGTGACAAAAAGGGCACTGTGAATGGTCCTTTACTATGTCATGTGATCAGCTGAAGGAAGCACGGTTCTGGAGGATGTCATATGACGCCCTCCCTGAACTAGACAATCATGCTGTAGCCATCATTCGGCTATTGCCAGATCGTCAAGTGGTTAAAAGCAGCACAGTGGTTAGCACTTACACCTGGCAGTACTAGGGTTGTCTGTTTGAATCCCAACCACAGCACTACCTGCCTGGAGTTTGCATGTTCTCCCTGTGCGAGTTTCCTCCAGGTACTTTGGTTTCCTCCCACACTCCAAAGACATGCTGGTAGGTTAATTGGCTTTTGTCTAAAATTGTCCCTAGTATGTGTATGTATGAATGTGAGTTAGGGACCTTAGATTGTAAGCTCCTTGATGGTAGGGACTGATGTGAATGTACTATATATATATATATACACTGTATAAAGCACCACATAAATTGATGACGCTATATACAGCAAGTACCTGTAATAAAGTTTGCTGAAACTGTGTATTATTCAGTCCTTGTGGTTGGAAGCTGAAGTATTTATATAAGTGAACCTTGTAACGGAATTAAAAGCATAAAACTAAAGCAAACATAGATTTCGTTTTTTTCACAAAAAGCATAACAAAAGGATAATATAGTAGAACCCTCATATTGACTCAGAGACTGAGAACTGAGTATTCACATGGCCATTGATCACTCAGCTCTCGGTCTGCTGTGAGTAAAGAGCAGTAACCGTCTCCCAGCGCTCACTGGAGCACCCGGCTAGGAAGGAGTGCAGTTGGCTCCGGCCATGTGCTGAGAAGCGGATCCAGCTGTAAATCAGACAGCCAGGTGGATCCCAACACTATTGTTGGGGTCCTTTCAGAGCCTGGAGCGGATTTCCCTTGTCAGTGACTGGACTGGAGTGTCCTGAAAATAGGTAAGTATATACGTCTTTAATAGACAGGTTAGTTAGCACAAGTGTTCGGAGGGGGGGGGGACAGTTTTAGGGCTTTTAGGTGTAAAGCCAGAAGAAATCCTTTATAAATTAAACAAATATGGTTTAATGACTTGAAAGGCTTAAAACGCAGGAGGTTAACATGACTCCTACACTAACTGCAATCTGTAGGGAAATAAAACTGGTTTTCAATCCTTAATCAGGGAATGTTTTTAGATCCATTTTGGTAAATGATGACACTTACAGAAAATTATTTTACCATATAGACAGATATATCACATTCAGTGCTATACAAATTACCTGGAAACCATTGATCAATCAGCGAGTTGACATGATCAGTGATAAAAGCCATTGCAGAGAAATCTCTAACTTCAGACTGACAAATAATCTTTATGCCACCGCTCTTCTTCTTCTTCCAGTTCACATCTGAGGATTCGACACTGTCAAAGTAACAGACAACATTTACCTATTGTGTGAAATTTAAGATCCTCGTTACGTATATTCTGCCGAAATCAGCCAAACGCTCTTAGAGTGACACCAAAGCTTTCTTTTTTTGCCTAAAATAACAAAAATGTCTATACTTACCTGCTCTGTGCAGTGATTTTGCACAGAGCAGCCCCGATCCCCTTCTTTTCAGGTCCTTCCAGCACTCCTGGCTCCTCCTCCTCGAGCAGTGCCCCCAGGGAAGCCACTGACCCCAGGGGCACCACTGCGTGCTCGTCCCCAAGCTGCTGTGCTATGCATCCATAAGACAAATAGAGTTGCAGCTCAGCCTGCTCCTCATTGGCTCACTGGGTGTGATTGACAGCAGCAGGAGCCAATGGGCTCCCATTGCTATCTCAGCCAATGAGGAGGAAGAGTTCCCGGAGAGCAGAAACTGTCATGAACATTGCTGGATAGGAGGGGGCTCAGGTAAGAATGGGGGGGGGGGGCACTGCATACAGGTTTTTTACCTTCATGCATAGAATGAATGAAGATAAAAAAACCTTGAGCCTTTAGAACCATTTTAAATCACTATTAAACCCCAAATCAAGAATGTACAGATTATATTACAGCTCACCAATTCTTACATGTGGTGGCTACATTCATTTTCTCTTTTTAGGATTTCTTTCCTGGTGATCAGGTCAGTGTTAATTTTCAGCTTCCTTTAACCCCTTGCCCTCCAGAGGATTTACCCCCCTTCCTGACCAGGCCATTTTTTGTGTTACGGCACTGTGTTACTTTAACTGACAATTGCGCGGTCATATAACGTTGCACCCAAATTAAATTCATGTCTTTTTTCCCCACGAATTGAGCTTTCTTTCGGTGGTATTTGATCACCTGTGTGTTTTTTTTTTTTTTTGCGCTATCCAAAAAAAAATAAAGACCAACAATTTTGAGAAAAAAAAACAATATTTTTGACTTTTTGCTATTAAACATGTAAAAAAATTTTTAAAAATCTAATTTTGTCATAAATTTATACCAAAATGTATTCCGCGACATGTCTTTGCTGAAAAAAAGTGTTCCGTCCAGCCATCCAGAGCAGTGTGCCCGAGCTGACAGGGAGGAGAACTGTTAGTAAACAAAACAGTTCTCTTCCCCCGTCCGAGATCGACAAAAATCACCGGGCACCGGCAAGGAATTACCGGCCGTGGCCCGGTGAGTGACAACCATGACCATGAATGGCGACTCTCCCTACCTGGAAATGCAAAATCATGTATTTTATTTTTTTTTTGCCAATAGGAAAGTATTTACTTTGATAATACTGATGCAACTTTGGATGGGTGCAAATTTGATGCAGCTTTTTTTTTTTTTTGCTAATAGGAAATTATGACAGTTCTGTTCATGTAGTGCGACTTTGATGCGACTTTACACTCTCTGGCATTCAAGTAGCAGCAAAGATGCATCCAAGTCGCACCCATCCAAAGTCGCATCAAAGTCAATACTTTCTTATTGGTGAAAAATAAAAACCCCAAAAACGCGTGTTCAAAAAAAGCAGAACGCACCGGAAAAACGCAGTGATGTGATCCTAGCCTTAGCTTTCATTTGTTAGCTAACCTCCCTAGCGGTCTGATTATGTCAATATTTCTGTGCTCAAAGCGGTACATTGTTTTCAATGGAAATATGTTGTAATTCTCAGGAATAACTCACTGACATCTGTCCGAACAAGAGTCTAGTAAACATCCCGGGTATGATAAAACTTGAAACACGAAATATAATATAATAAAATAATCATAAAAAATAATAATATAATAATACATTTTATTCAATAATATAATAAAAACAAAAACACTGACATTTGAAATAGAGCGCCAAGTTCGCACATCGCTGAGCTCAGTCGCAGAATCGTTTTCAGTGTCTGATGAGGAATTTCCCCCACGAATCATTATCACTCAATTCTGCAAGTGGTTCTGATTTACTATCGCTGTTCTCTAGCTGGTCTAAAACCGCTTTTTGACGTAAAGGGACGCTTTTTGGACGCCATGGACATTTCTCAGTTTCCAGGCAGAAAGAACAGTAAAAATGTACGCAGGGCACAGGACAAAGCAGTAGGGACAAAATGTATGTGAAATGGTTTGATACAGTAATAGAATACTATCATATTTTAGTGTATTATGTGTATGTAAAATTTTGACATTTTCGAATTTCCCGCCGGTTCTGTCCCCCATACGTCCCAACGCTCACAGGGAACGCAACCCGGGAGACGGATGCCAGCATCGGCCAGAGGACATGGCCTGGGACGCTGCAGGGGGTACAGCGTGAGACAAGGTCAGTGATCCAGGGACCCCAGAGCAACGCTGCAGGGTAATCACAAGTGTAGCTCGGGGTTACCGCTTCTGGTACTGAAAGTTAACCCCAAGCTACATTCGGGAATACCGCCAGGGGGGTTAAGTCCATCTAAATGTGCTAGTCCATCTAATACTATCCTCCTCCCAGACAAACAATGCTGTTGTGCAAGGGTGTCTCTGTTGCTGCTCCAGTGGAGTGGAGACACCCAAAGACAGAAAGTGTGTTACTAGCCAGATCGCAAGGTGAAAAATAAAGAAAAATGCATTGAAAAGGAAAACTAACGCAGGTTTGGTAAGCTGCACTATATAACATTTTGTTTTAGGGTTTAATACTGTTTTAAGCTGGCCATACACGGATCGAATTTGGGCCAATACCTATTATATCAGCAGAAATTCAATGAATGGATGGCCTAGTCAGCACCACTCTGTCCAACACCCTTCAACTGAAAAACTGAAGAAGCCAGGTGGAAACTGTCAGCATAACAGCAACCACAGACTGAACAATTTAAAACTCTGGAAATATGATCAGCTTTTAATATGATTTACATCATACCAGTGCGGCTAAACATTGAGAGGTACTGGGTAGGTACTTCACTCCCAAGAGCTGAATAGAGCCAAAAATCAGTGAAATTGATCTGAAGCACTAAGGGGTTCATTTACTAAAGGTAAAAAGACTGTGCACTTTGTGAAATAGAGCTGTATGCTGCAAGTGCAGTTGCTCCAGAGCTTAGTAAATGAGGTAAAGCTTCACTTTGCAAAGAATACCCAATCGCATTTTTGCTTCATGATTGGATGACAAGAGTCAAAAGAGCTTCTGCTCATTTACGAAGTCCTGGAACAACTGCACTTTGCAAAGTTTAACTTAAATAAAGGAATGCGCTAAAACCACAAACTATTCCTAATTTAGTGTAGAAACATTAGTACAAAAGATATATATATATCTATTCTCAATTAATATCAAAAAATATCAAAATTATGTGCAAAACTATTTTTTAGTGCATAAGTAATTTAAATAATTAAATTTGTGAATATAAAAATTGTCCAATTTTGAATTTCTTCAAATGTCCAAACAAATCCTTTTCAAATTCAAGTGCTCTCAAAGGGGCAGACCGCATCTTGAAGACGTCATTCATGACGAAACTAGTAGGGCTTGGCTTGCTGGATGCTGACATCTGTGGAGAGGATTGAGTCACGAGCGCTGTAGTGAGCCAATGAGTGTGCGGGGAACAGGAGACTGTTATACCATTTGCTGTTTTATGCTGTTATACTGGTGTCGGTGAAGACACCCTTTTTGTGAGTGTAAATCTTTATTAAATTGTTGGATACTTTTATAAAAAAACTGGCTGCACCATGATTTTTTCTTTCATTCCCCAAACATGACCTCGGTGGAGAGATATAAAAAGAGAGAGTGATATAATGCTCCTGGAACCGTTATATTGAGTGGTGGATACCTACCTTATGGATGATTGTGTAGCTATTGATCATCACACCTGAGAAGTTGATTCATTGCATCTGCTCCCAGAGCAAAAAGCGTTTTTTGCTGATCTAGAGATTGATCAGCATGGAGCTCTGGTGAGTTACCCAACTTTACTTTGGTGGTGGATTTTGGCACAATTGCTTTGAGAGCACTTGAATTTGAAAAGGATTTGTTTGGACATTTGAAGAAATTCAGAATTGGACAATTTTTATATTCACAAATTTAATTATTTAAATTACTTATGCACTAAAAAATAGTTTTGCACATAATTTTGATATTTTTTGATATTAATTGAGAATAGATATATATATATATCTTTTGCACTAATGTTTCTACACTAAATTAGGAATAGTTTGTGGTTTTAGCGCATTCCTTTATTTAAGTTATAGCACTAAGAAATTTATTTGGTTTCTTTGAGGTGGAATTGCTGCTTTAAAGTATTAAGGGTGTGGTGCTTTTATTACACTTGTGATATTGCACTTTGCAAAGTGCACAGTCTATTTGCCTTTAGCAGGGACGGACTTACAACTCATGGGGCCCTTGGGCAATAGGGGATCATGGGGCCCGTGTCCTCGCCCACACTGAAACCACACCCAAAAAAGCCTATGAAAGGTACCAGGGGCATCTCATGGGGCCCCCTACTGACCCTGGGCCCTCGGGCAGTACCCGAGTACCCCAATGGTCAGTCCACCCCTGGCCTTTAGTAAATCAACCTCTAAGTGTCATAAAAGCACCATACATTATATTTTATTTGTAAAATAAAGATTTTATTTAAATAGTAACAAAGAATGATGGGCAAGCCAGGCTTTAATGCGCAGCCATTTGTTTCATACCTGAGGTAGCCACCTTCAAAGGTAACCAGCAGTCCCTCTTGCCAGTAGATAGTCTGGTTCCTCTTAACCCGGAAAGTGCTACAACGATTACGCTGGCTGCCTGTGAAGCTGTAAATGGCAGATTTCCTGTTCCGTGGTTTGGTATTTTTCTTGTTCTCAAACAACTATGAAAAGAAGAAGTAGTGATCAGTGGATTCCTACTGTTATCCAGAAATCTGTATAACAAAAGACTAAAATTTCTGTTTTCCAGTGTTCTGTATGGTCTCATCCCTGTTCTCACCTGAAGATCCATCTCAGACAGGCTGATTAACATGCGTGCGATGAATCTCTGCCAAAATCCTACAGGGACAAAGCTCATGTTGAACACCCTCTGGACGGTGTTGCCAGTGGACTGCCGTAAGCAGTGGATATCCAGGCCAGGCTTGGCAGGCAAGAGGTGAGGTAAGAGGTAACTGCAAAGAAAATGTAAAATACTGTAAACAATGGTGTTAAAGTGCATCTACACCCAAAACTCTGTTAAAAAATTTGGATAGACTGGGTAAGGATCAGAACACCTGCTGGGTTTTACTGCAATCTAATGCCCCGTACACACGATAAGAAAACCGTACGAAAAATTTAGCGGAACCACTGATGGAACGATTTTCTCTTCGTTGATGATCAGGATGTTTTAACCGATAAGGATATTGTGAACGAAAAAATCCGGTTGAACAACAGTGAAAAATGTTGTCATTTCGCATACGGACGACCAATTTGCTATGCGGTGGTATGACGGTCGTACGAGAAAAATCTATCAAGCGCTATCACGCATGAGCGGAAACAGAAGATGACCCGGATGTTTATGTCCAAGGAATCTTCCTAAACACGAACGAAAAATCCAAATGTTAAAAGTAGATCGGCCAAATGAGATGATGAAACCAGAATTCTGCAGATTATATTTTATGTATCACGATTTATGTATATAGATCATGTAATAAACGATATTATACTCATTGCTGGTCATTGTGTAAATCGCTCATTCTGGGTGGAAGGGCGTGGCTACAAGGTCACACGCACACCGCATCACTTCTACTTGTACGGAAGACGTCAACACTATGTATTGCCCGACGAACGATTTTTTTAGATCGGTTAATGTGGGCCACGATATCGACCAACGAACGAACGTCTCTTGGTCGTCGGATGACTGATCGGTCGATTTTCTAATCGTGTATTCCCACCTTTAGGCTCCGCTGGAGAGATTCTTTAATTCACTGTGTGGTAAAAAGTAAATCTTTTGGTTTTCAAGACCAAAAGTGAGGGGAAATCTTTCCAACGAGGCTCCATTTAGTGTGAATTCTCACAGAGGTTCTAACCTTTCCCCGTTCTATCTTTTTCATTTCCATTTTACATTTTTTTCTGAGTGCTGGGAGTATAGCTATCGCTATGCTTCCAGTGCTCCGATGTTGGATGGTTTGGTCTCAGCTCCTGAGGCTGCAGAGTCACATGTAGCCACTATGCCCACTCCCCCTCCTCCAGCCCAATCAGAGAGAGCTTTGTATTAAGTGAACTCATTCACAAAATACAAAGACTTCTGTGAATGAACAGCAGAGGGGAGTGTAACCATAGCTTCACTCCTAGAGCTGCATCAAAACTGTCAGATATAAATTAAAAGAGAAGTATGGGGTTGGTAAAAAAAAAAAGCAAACATTTAGTTTGATGCTGCATCTGTCCCCTGCCACCTCTGCACTAAGAACTAAGAAATTAAACACAGCTGATCAGTCACTTCTCAGTCACCGGCTCTCTGCTCTGCCCCACCAGCACTCAATGGAACTCTGGGCTGTGGAAGAGGCTGGTGTAGCTGGCTCAGTCTCCCTGCAGCTCACCAAGAGGCTGAGCCAGCTGCTTGTGAACTCCATATTAACCACTTCCAGACTGGACACTTTTACCCCCTTCCTGACCAGGGCAATTTTCAGCTTTCAGCGCTACACACTTTGAATGACAATTGCGCGGTCATGCCACACTGTACCCAAATGAATTTTTTACCATTTTTTTGAGACAGATAAAGCTTTATTTTGGTGGTATTTATTCACCGCTGGGAATTTAATTTTTTTTTGCTATGTAAATGATAATGTCCAAAAATTTTGAAAAAAAAGTTTTTTTTTTTTTAATTTTGCAAATAAATAATATTTCATCATAAATCTTGGCCAAAATTTATTCCGTTATCTTTTTAGTAAACAAAAAAAAAATCCAAATTAGTTTATAACCAAAAATTATAATTTTTAAATATTTTTTTTTTACATTTTTTATTTTTTTTTATATTATTATTTTTTATTTATTTTTTTTTTACATACTGTCACCCTAGCAGTACAGTGTCACCATGGTGACACTGTACTACTTGTGGGGGGTGATGAAGATTTTTTTTTTTTTTTTTTTACACCGATTGCTTTTATACCCATATAGAATGTAAAAGCAATAATTTCTCTTTCTCTCTGTCTGCATTCTTGCAGTCATTGAGAAATACAGAGTGAGCTGCGATTGGTCACAGCTTGTCACATGGTACAAGGCTGTTGTGAATAGCCTTGTACCATGTGACCTCTGTGATCATTCACAGAATTCACACGTAGTAAGCAATGATGTCACAAGTGACATCTTGCTTGCTACTTTGCATGTGATCACTGATTGGCCAATCAGTGATCACATGATTGGGACCTCGTACAGAGGTCCCGTCCGACGATTGGTGTTTCACTGTGTCCGGAGGACACAGCGGGCACCGGATCGCGGTGCTGCACACTTCCAGGGAGAGCGCACAAGCAGGGTGTGGGAAGGCCGTTTATAAACAGCCACCCGACCCTGCACTGCCATCGTCCGGCCGTTTATATACAACGGCCGGTCGGGAAGTGGTTAAAGTGACAGGTGCTTCATTGTGCTCAGGCTGGTGCCCCAAGGCTGAAAAAAGACAAAAGTCTATCCAGTTCAACCATTAAAAAAAAAATAAAAAAAAATAAGTTAGAATCCTACACCCACAGTTGATCCAGAGGAAGGCAAAAAAAAAACAGAGCAAAGCATGATCCAATTTGCTCCTGCTGGGAAAAAAATTCCTTCCTGATCCCCTGAGAGGCAATCGGATATTCCCTGGATCAACACATGGATCTGCAGTCACCGTCATCCCATGACCATCTATCTCTAGGACGGTCAAATACACTTTTGGGACTATCCCAGTATGCAACGTGGTAATAATAACCGATGTTCCTTCATACACCGTAAGCGCCGTTGCTTGCTAATGGTAACCGGTAATCCTCCACAGGGGTTATTGTGGTATTGATGACGGTGAGTGCAAATCCATGTGGGGCACCAGTCTGAGCACATGAAGCACCTGTCACTTTAATATGGAGTTTACAAGCAAGGACTGAGCACCATATAGAGATCGTGTAGGATCCTGGGTGATCCGTAAGGCTTTTTGGCCCCTGTGGGTCGCAGGGGGAAGGTGAGCGGGCATGCCTGCCATATAGGAGCATTATTCACCACCTGCACCGGCACAGGAGCATGCAGATTGTCATTGTGTGTGGGGGCTATTGTTACACAAGTTAGACACCGGATATTGTGGACTATTACTTATATAGATCACCTATTTAAAGTGACACATACCCCTGCACAGGGTATCACTGTGTTTCACGATAATGAAATTCTGATCACTTAGATATATTTGTATTATACTGCATGTATCATCTACAAATGTCAGAAGTTTATTTCTGATTAATAGCATATTGTTTTTTTCATATTGTAGAAGCAATGTTTTACCTAACATAAGGCTCTTTAAAGTTAATACAGCGCTACATCACTATTATAGTAGTTTATCCATTTCCATCTAAAGGTGAGGGTTGGATGTAAGCTTTTTCACTAGTCCTAATATAGGGAATGAAGGTCCAGGAAGACAAGATACAGTGAATGCAGGGTCCGGGGAGAGCGGATATAGTGAATGCAGGGTCCGGGGAGAGCAGATACAGTGAATGCAGGGTCCGGGAGAGCGAATATAGTGAATGCAGGGTCCGGGGAGAGCGGATATAGTGAATGCAGGGTCCGGGGAGAGCAGATACAGTGAATGCAGGGTCCGGGGAGAGCGATATAGTGAATGCAGGGTCCGGGGAGAGCGGATATAGTGAATGCAGGGTCCGGGGAGACCAGATATAGTGAATGCAGGGTCCGGGGAGAGCGGATATAGTGAATGCAGGGTCCGGGGAGAGCGGGTCCGGGGATATATAGTGAATGCAGGGTCCAGGAAGACAAGATACAGTGAATGCAGGGTCCGGGGAGAGCGGATATAGTGAATGCAGGGTCCGGGGAGAGCGGATATAGTGAATGCAGGGTCCGGGGAGAGCGGATATAGTGAATGCAGGGTCCGGGGAGACCGGATATAGTGAATGCAGGGTCTGGGGAGACTGGATATAGTGAATGCAGGGTCCGGGGAGACCAGATATAGTGAATGCAGGGTCCGGGGCGACCGGATATAGTGAATGCAGGGTCCGGGGAGACCAGATATAGTGGATGCAGGGTCCGGGGAGATTGGATATAGTGAATGCAGGGTCTGGGGAGACCGGATATAGTGAATGCAGGGTCCGGGGAGACCAGATATAGTGAATGCAGGGTCCGGGGAGAGCGGATATAGTGAATGCAGGGTCTGGGGAGACTGGATATAGTGACTGCAGGGTCTGGGGAAACTGGATATAGTGAATGCAGGGTCCGGGGCGACCAGATATAGTGAATGCAGGGTCCGGGGCGACCGGATATAGTGAATGCAGGGTCCGGGGAGACCAGATATAGTGGATGCAGGGTCCGGGGAGACCAGATATAGTGAATGCAGGGTCTGGGAAGACCGGATTTAGTGAATGCAGGGTCCGGGGAGACCAGATATAGTGAATGCAGGGTCAGGGGAGAGCAGGGGATATAGTGACAGCGGGGTCCGGGGAGACCAGATATAGTGAATGCAGGGTCCGGGGAGACTGGATATAGTGAATGCAGGGTCAGGGGAGAGCGGATATAGTGAATGCAGGACCCGGGGAGACCAGATATAGTGAATGCAGGGTCCGGGGAGACCGATATAGTGAATGCAGGGTCC